AGAACTTGGTTATCTCTATCAGATAGTAGAAGAATTTGCTTCCTGTAACTTATAAAACACCAGTTTAATAATTATATTTGAATATGCACCTTTTAATCTACTTGTTTTCTGTTATAATCTCCTTGAGAATAGGAAGTCCAACTCCTACCCATTTGCTTTTTTTAAACTACTATATTCAAATTCCCATAGTAGTCAACATAATACCTTCTATGCGTATATTTTTTAAATTATTTGGAACTGTTTACACATTCATTAATTATTTTGAATGTCTTCTATGTGCTCAGCACTGTTATTAATATTAAAATTATAAAAATTGCTGAAAATAGTTGAAAATGTGTCCATCAATGGAACTCAAATTCTAGTGGGAGAATGCAACATATGTTGTCTAATTTGTACATTTAAGTTTTTATCATATGCTAGTATGTTTTTAAAAAAGAATCAGTTTCTGGGTGGGGCACATCAATGGGTTTTCATATGTACTAAATTATGTTTTTCCATGCAACTTTGCCTCCCACCTCATATAGTTAAAATATAGTTAAAAACAGACTATAACAAAAGTAATATGTACTAGATATGCTGCTGATTGCTTCTAGTCAAAGTCCCACTGTCAACAAACCAGAGAGAGAGAGAGAGAGAGAGAGAGAGAGAGAGAGAGCAGCCTTGAATACCATACTTTTTGGAAAAACTGATTATACCATTGGCCAGACAACTATCTGTTTCTCTTTGCAAGTTGAGAATAGAAAGCTAATGAGACCACAAAAATTCAGATAAAACATAACAGGAGGCCCTAGAGGTGAACAGAAAAACACTAACACCTTATTTTAAGTTTTCAATATATACGAAACCAGTTGAGATCTCTGAAATTTTCTCATATTGGAAATAATTTGAATTTATTTCTACCTCTGCTAGTCAACAGAACCTTCAAGAAAAGCAATTTCAGTACCCAACTGGTCAACCATAATAAATAATTAAATTGCTGTCCCCCCCATGACTCATTCTGAAACCATAACTGTCCACCATCTCCTTACAATCGCTTGTTCAGGTCCTACTCTACTGTTGTCTCTCTACTGGAAACCCTTGAAGCAAGGATGGAGAACTCAAGACACAGTATGACAGAGTGTAATCTAATACACGGTAAACTCAGAATCCCAGTAGAAATCTATCCCCAAAGAGATTCAGACAATTGCAACAAACCAAACCAAATGAACAATATTAAATTAGTGCTTCTCAATGGGGATGTGTCACAAAGTCCTTTCTTGGTAGACAGCAGGTGTGATTTAATCACTATGCATCATAACATGAAGAATGAAGAGGTGGACACCGTGGCTCACACTCGTAATCCCAGCATTTGTGAGACTGATGCAGGAGAATTAGCAACATGTTTAGGCCAGCTTGGGTTAAGCAAAGCACTTGTCTCCCCTACAAAATGAAAAACTGACATCAACAGGGTGAGGAAAGATCTGCTGCGATCATCATTTCTCTCAGCCATGGAGAAGAAAATACATGGGGCAGGGGTTAAAAAGACAAATAACTGTAGTTGAAAGTTAATTTACAGGACTGGGTTTGAAGAGGTGCCAGGACACTTTAACTAGTATAAACATACACCCACACTCATAACCATGCAGATATTTGGGGGTGTTTTCCATATAAAATAATACAGAAGAAAGCTTGAGTGATTGCTACTACCACCACCTAAATAATTATTCCAGTCATGAAAATAGGGTTACCAATATAGCTATACTATTAATATGCTATATTTAGTTCACCTCTTCTCTAGATTTGTTTGTTTGGTTTTGTGAGACAGGATCTTGGCATGTAGCCTAGGCTTGGCCTCTAACTAACAATCCCCCAAACAACCTCTTGGAAAGCAGGATTAGGGCTCCATGCAGCTTGATTTTTAGACTGACATGGTTCATAGATTAGCACCTCTATTTCACAAATTAACACCTTTATTTTGAAGATTGCAAAATCATGGCTCTTACAAAATCCCTCCACTTTTAGCTGGTCATAGTTTTTGGTGGTGGTACTTTATACTAGAGGAAGATGAGGTGGAAGAATTAGCAGAGGGAATTGAGGGAAAACTCAAGTGGGTTAAGAATGAACTCTGAAATCTGGATTTTGGGCTCAAACCCCAAATACATCTTTACTATGACTTATGGGAAATTATTTAACTTTTCTGCGATTAAGTCATTCATCTCAAATATTAGAAATAGAAGGGAATAATGAAATCTACAGAACAGATGTTAGGCAAATAAGACAGCAGACAACACAATCGGGAAATGCTAAGAGTCACTGGCTGAATTAAAAGCATAACAGCTTGGATACCTTATCTACAGAACACATTTTTTAAAAAGAATATAGTGACTTGGATATCTTATCTATAGAACACATCTTTTAAAAAATACATATATAGTGGCTTGGATACCTTATCTTTAGAACACACTTTTTTATAGAGTGGCTTGTATTCTTATCTATAGATCACATCTTTTTATATAGTGTGTGGTGAGTGCGTGCGAGAAAGAGAGAGAGAGAGGGAGAGGGAGAGAGAGAGAGAGAGAGAGAGAGAATGTGTAAGCTGGGGGTTAACTTTGAGTATTTTCTTTAATTGCTTTCCACCTTGTTTTAGGACAAGGACGGTCTCTCTCAGAACCTGGGAACCCACCATTTCAGCTGGGCTGGCAGGCTAGTAAGCTCTTGGGTTCTATATGTCTCTAGTCAGACGGTTCTGGAATTACTATGTGTACCGCCTTGCCTGGCTTTTACGAGGATATTAGGGATCTGAACTCAAAACTTCATGTTTAAACATCAGGAACTTCACTGACGGAGTCATCTTCCTAGCCCCAAATCAAACCACAATTTTTTTAATCAGTTCAACAAGCTACCCTCATATTCATTTGGAAGAGAAGATATGAAAAGCATCCAAATGAAAAAGAATGTCATAAAAATTTATTAACTGTATATGAAAACTAAACAGTTAATTAAGTCAGTAAAATACTGGTATAGATATAAATATATCAATGAAAAAGAATGCTGTCCAGTAGCAGGACTATATATGGGGATTTTTATATACCATAAAAGTAGCATATTTGTACAAGAGTAAGAATAGACTGTTCAATAACATGCTGGGCCCAAATAAATGCCCATTTGCAAAACAAACAAACAAAACCCAACAATAATTAATTTCCTACCCTATTCTGTATTTTAAAATAAATTCTATGGTATACGGGTCTAAAAATGAAGCCAATAAAAATAAAGAACACTACACAAGGATCAGAGAAGCCCTCTGTAAGACACACAACGACAACGCTATCATCTATATTTATTATGAAATAAATAAAGTACGTCATCCTTGCACCGCTATTTCCTTCCTCCAACTGTAATAATGGAAATCACAAATCTCTAAGGTGTCACTCTAGTCGGTATACAAAAATCTTCTGCACTTAAACTATTTTAGCCTTTAGTACAATGGACCAATGTAGCGAGGCAATGTCTCATACATTAATACTAAATATAATGAAGCAATTTTCAACTGAGTAAGTGGGTGTAAATTGGTGGTCACAATTATTCAAACCTAGGTGAGGCCGAAAATACAATAGATGGTTTAATTCCAGAATTAAATGTAACACTATTTCTAGGACTCTAAATTGCATTGGGAAGTGAATTTCTCAATATTCACAACCATCTTACTTAAGAGCAATGATTCTACAGTCTAGTACAAGAATTAGAAAGTCTCAACCACATTAGATTCATGAAGCAAAGCAAACCATTCTAAATGCATACCCTTGGCAATTCACAAAGTAGCTCTGTGTGTGTTGAATGATAACCTTGGATTATGTTTTAACAGCTTGACAAGGTTTTCTTTCTTTATTTAAATTTTCTTTTTCTTTTTCTGAGACAGGAGTTTCTCTGTGTAACAGCCTTGGCTGTCCTGGAACTCTCTTTGTAGATCAGGCTGGCCTATGAACTCACAGAGATCCTCCTGCCTTTGCATCCCAGTTTTGGGATTAAAGGCATGGGCCACCAGCACACGTTTGACAAGGCATTCTTAAAAGCTTTACCTCTTAAGGTTTTATTCGTTTGAATGTCTTTCAATGGTGCACTGCCATTATTTTACAAAGGAAACTGATTTGTAACTGACAGACAGCAGATTTAGAATCTACAGAAACGAACGCTGTCACAAGTACTTCTCAGAGCCACTTCCTGTCAGTAGACTTGCCATTGTGCCTTAATCCCCACACTCAAATGTCCTCTTACTTTCCCAACTGGGTAGCAAACAGAAATTCTTTCTACACTTTAATAAGGAATTTTAAAGTTAGGAATTATCAGGAAATTGATAGCCACCTATTGCCTAATTCCTTATCGGTCAATAAAACGTGCGTTTCAACCTTTATGATAGAAATTTTCTCTCCAGCCTTTCCTGTATTAGGGGAGGATAACAGACCTTGATGGAGTTTTGGAAAGACGCTGGTTCACACCTAAGAGAAAATTTAAGGATATAATCTGATTTATTTCACTCTTTATAAAAACCTTTTTCAACGTTATAAAAATTCTATAATTTTTTGGTTATTTGTTTTATTTTTCGAGACAGGGTTTCCCTGTGTAGCTCTGTCTGTCCTGGAACTAGCTCTTGTAGACCAGGCGGGCCTCGAACTCACAGAGATCCTCCTGTCTCTGCCTCCCGAGTTCTGGGATTAAAGGCGTGCGCCACCACCGCCCGGCTAAATTCTATAAATTTAACAATGTGAAACCCTTATGAAAATAGTCTGAAGGAATTCTTCCCTCAACAGCAGTAAGCCTCAAGTATTAAGTCTAATTACTAAAGACATAGACAGCAGTCCTTCGGGCGGCTTTCGAGAGGAAAAACCTCCAGTTTGACTGGAGATGTCATAACCTCCAGCCCATAGTGAAGCGGCTGAACCCCTGACATCCTTGCCCAGGCAAGTCGCAAAGATGTTCCCGGGCTTTCCGGAAAGCAGCTGAGCACAACCCGACATCCTCACCTGAGGGTTCTCACGTCCTGGTTAGTAGGGATCGAGGGATCGTCATAAACAAGCAAGGCGGAATCAGAAGCCTAGTTGGACGGAAGGGCCACACAACTATCAAAAGAAGACCACTGGCCCTCAGAAGGTTCCCCCAGGAAACCAGCCTTCCTCGCGCCCCGGGGCACCCACCAGTTGCCTAGGATTGCGACTACAACTCCCAGGAGGCTGCGCGGCGGACCGAGCGGCCGCCTTCCCAGAATGCAGCGCAGCGGCTTCCCTGTCAAGCTCTCCCTTCTCCCCGCTCCGCCTCCTTCCCTACCCGTCGTCACCCGGGAGGGCCGGAGGTAGGGAGCGTCGTGAGCCGCCGGGAGGGGCCCGGGGCGGGGTGGAGGGAGGATGGGAGGACGGAGGGGAGGGAGCGGCGAGGGGAGGGAGGGTAAATAGTGGGCCCGGCAGGAAGATGGCGGCGATAGCGGAGGTGTGAGCGGACCTGGGTCTCCGCCGTTGGCTTGGCTCTTCCCGTCTTCCTCCCCTCCTCCCTCCCTGACTGAGGTTGGCACCTAGGGGGCCGAGTTCAGGTGGCGGCGCCGGGCGCAGCGCAGGGGTCACGGCCACGGCGGCTGACGGCTGGAAGGGCAGGCTTTCTTCGCCGCTCGTCCTCCTTCCCCGGTCCGCTCGGTGTCAGGCGCGGCGGCGGCGGCGCAGCGGGCGCGCTCCGTCCCTCTTCCTGTTCCTGCACGCCCCGGAGCGGGTACTCTTGGCTGTGCCATCCCCCGACCCTTCACCCCAGGGACTGGGCGCCTGCACTGGCGCAGCTCGCGGAGCGGGGGCCGGTCTCCTGCTCGCCTGTCGCGCCTCCATGTCGGATAACCAGAGCTGGAACTCGTCGGGCTCGGAGGAGGATCCGGAGACGGAGTCCGGGCCGCCTGTGGAGCGCTGCGGGGTCCTCAGCAAGGTGAGCAGCCTGCGGGGGGCCGGGGACCCGCTGCCGGGACTCACCTGCCGCGAGGCGAGGGGAGCCGCTCGGGACCTGGGGTGGGGCTGGACTGGAGGCACCCACTGTCCCGGGGCGGGGGCTGCGGAATGTGCTGGGGTGCGGGGCCGAAAGGTCCGCCTGGAATGAGTGTCGGACCAGCGGTGGGATAGGAGACGTTTGGAACTGTCCTCCCCCCCCCCCCCCCACCTCATTACCCCCAGTCGCCAGGAACTTGTCAGCTTTTCCAAGGACCGAGGACCTTGGAAAGCGTGTACAATCCGCGATCCAGTTTGGAAGGCAAGGTGCATCTGGTTACTTGGAACCCAAGGAGGCAGCTGTCTGGGGTGTAGGAATCTGGGTTGGGCAACCGTGGTGTCTGAAGTACTGGACGCGAGAGCGGTTACATGGACCTTTCAAACAATATTGTTTCGGAGGTCCCCACCAGAATAGCTTGGGGCGGGGTGGGGTGGTGTGCAGCTCTAGCGGGTTTAGGCAAGCCTGGGTTTGGCCTTAAAATCTGAGATAGTAAACTTTGAAGTGTGAGTGATCTTGAGTGTAGAAAGCGTGTGCAGCACTTTGTACTTTATCCCTCCTTACCCAGGTTCAGAAAAGAGCTATTGAATTGTCACGCTTGGATAAGAAATATTAATAGTAAGTTGGGACGTGTTAGAGTGAAGACCGACCTTTATAAAGTTAAGGAAAAGGAGCATTATTTAATAATACAGTATTTGTGCACTAAGGAAGGACATTTCTGTCACACACACACACACACACACACACACACACCCGCACCCCCTGTACTTTTAAAAGCTTCTTTTCAAGTTTTTTTTTTTTTTTTTTTTTGCCTAGATAGCATTTGTAGGGCTGGAAATGAGGGATTTTGTGTTTTACATTTTTGTTGTGGAAAGTCTCAGCCCTTTTGACTTCCCTGTCCTTTCCTGTTAAACTTTAAGAAATGCTTAGAGCTAGCAGTGTTTCCAGGGGGAGAGTTGGGGCTCGTCCCTTAACAAGCTGGTCATAAGATACCAAGTCATGTGCTATTGGCCATTAAGAAATCACTCTGCTGCCAGTGTTCTTGAACATCATTTCTGGAATTGTTTGAGATTAGGCTATTACAGTGTCTTTAGCTGGAGAGAGAAGGCCTGGGCCAGACTTCAGTATGTCAGATACAAAGCTTCCAAGTGTTAAGTTTTATTTACATAGTAGAAAATTATGTTGTGTTTGATGCTGTGATCATTCTTGAAATTTTAATATAATGCTTTCAGTTGAGTGAGCTCCCCAGTGTTTATTGAGATTAATGTATCTTTATAATTTAAGAATCTATATTGAGGGGCTGGAGAGTTGGCTCAGAGGGTAAGAGCATTGCCTGCTCTTCCAAAGGTCCTGAGTTCAATTCCCAGCAACCACATGGTGGCTCACAACCATCTATAATGAGGTCTGGTGCCCTCTTCTGGCCTGCAGGCATACACACAGACAGAATATTGTATACATAATAAATAAATAAATAAATATTTAAAAAAAAGAATCTATATTGAACACGTTGTATAATAAGTTTGCATTTTCAAATGGTTGTGAAATGGGCTGTCTCTCCTGATTCTGGGAGTTTCATTACTTGTCATTAGATGAGAAGCAGACTGCTATATCAGTGTGTTGTTCAAGTGTTTTATGAAACAAGCTATACTTTTGATTTGTTTGTTTGTTTGTTTCTTGTTTGTTTGAGACAGAATTTCTTTGTGTATCGCTGGCTGTCCTGGAACTCACTCTATAGACCAGGTTGGCCATGAACTCACAGAGATTCTCCTGCCTCTGCCTCCTTAATGCTGGGATTAAAGGCTAGTGCCACCACCATTGCCCGTCTTACTTTTGACTTCTTGATCATCATTTTTTGCAGAGTGAGAGATTGGAATGACAGATGAAAAAAGAGCTCATGCTTTGTGATCTATTGTATTCAGATTAGCATATGAAGTATAATGTGAATCTGAACCTGGAAGGCAGGCAGAATTGTATATTCATGTAATCCTAGCACCCAGGAGGCAGAGCAGGAGGATTCCAAGTTCCAGGCCAACTAACCTACCTTCATGGCAAGGCCCTGTCTCCCAGAATCATTTTTTTAAGGAGAACTCTCTTGCATTTAAATGTATAGGAATATATTGATTATGTCCATTAAAAGGAAATTGTTTTCATTTTGATTGTTCTGTGTGTATACAATCAATGTGTAAGTAAAAATTTTATTAACAGCTGTAAAGAAAATTTTCTGGAAGTTTAAGAATGTATGGTTATATGATTATTCAGTGTAGTGGTCCACACCTTTAATCCTAGCACTTGGGAGGCAGAGGCCCATGGATAGCTGTGAATTTTAGGCCAGCCTGATCTATACCATGAGTTTTAGGACAGACAGAGCTGCATAATAAGACCCTGTCTTGAAAAACATATATATATATATATATATATATATATATATATATATATGGTTATATATGTGTGTATGGTTAACAAATATATATATACATATATATAGTTATATATATGTTTTATGGAAACTTTTATTTTTATATGTATTTGTGTGTACATATGAGTACACCTTCCTGGAGGCCAGAAATCTAAATTGGTGTCTTTCTCAATCCTTCTCCACCCTGTTTTTTGAGACAGGGTATCAAAGTAAACCCAGAGCTTGCAATTTAGCTAGACTTGTTGGTCAGCAAGCCCCAAAAATCCTCTTGTCTCCACTTCTCTGGCCCTAGGAATATGCCACCACTTTGCCTGGGATTCTTATGTGGGTGTTAGGGATCAAACTCAGGTCTTCATGCATGCATAACAAGCACTTCACAGTCTGAGCCATATGGCTAGCTTATGTTTTCTACAAAGTGCTTTGTTTACTTTTGGACATTACTAGAGACCAAACCCAGTGGCATCATGCATGCTAGGCAAGTGTTCTACTGTAGCCTCATCAAAGGAACTTTATACTGAATACATACATTCACACTATGGATCATGCATGTTTTTAAGCTTAAAGTATGTGTCTTTTGTAATTTGAACCCTTCATAATTTACCTGATAATTTATTTATTTATTTATTTTTTAAAGATTTATTTATTTATTATGTATACAACATTCCTGTAATGTATGTTTGTATGCCAGAAGAGGGCTCCAGATCTCATTATAGATGGTTGTGAGCTACCATGTGGTTGCTGGGAATTGAACTCAGGACCTCTGGAAGAGCAATCAGTGCTCTTAACCTCTGAGCCATCTCTCCAGCCCCCTTACCTGATAATTTAAACAAGAGTTAGTTTTCAACATCTGTTCTTTTCCTCCTGTTTAGTTATATAGATAAGTCCAAATAGTTATCCATTTTCTTTCTTGTTTCATAAAATGGGATGGGTCTGGAATTTAGGAAATTGAAATTTAATTAAAAACATGCCAGTCCAAAAGCGTTTTCCCTCTTAAATAGTAATCAGAAATACCTGTGAGACATATTCTTAATGATGTGTGTTCCAAAAGTCCTAGTTAAGTAGTAATTCCATGTAGTTATGACAAATAGGATGGCACATGTTGAGGAAGGCGCACACCTTGGTACTTGAAAGCAACTAAGCCTGGATAAATGAAATCTTAGCCAGCTTTTCTGGGTCTCTCATCACCATGCACGTGCTGTCTGCTTACTTTATCGCTTAAGATCTCATCGCTTAAGATCTCACTATCTGCCGGGCGGTGGTGGCGCACGCCTTTAATCCCAGCACTAGGGAGGCAGAGGCAGGCGGATCTCTGTGAGTTCGAGACCAGCCTGGTCTACAGAGCTAGTTCCAGGACAGGCTCCAAAGCCACAGAGAAACCCTGTCTCGAAAAACCAAAAAAAAAAAAAAAAAAAAAGATCTCACTATCTTATCTCTGGCCGGCCTAGAAATTGCTGCTTAGACCAAGCTAGCCTCAAACTCAGAGATTTCCCTGCCTCTTGTCTTGTCTTCTGAATGCTAGTATTTAAGGTGTAGGCCACCACTTTGGTTCTTTCTTTTGAGATAGAGCTTTGCTGTATTGACCACACTGGTCTCTAACTCATGACTTAACTTCCAGAGATTTGAAATGCTAGGATTATAGGCATGGGACTTGACTCTTTAAGTCCATCCCAAATGCCATTCTTTCCATAAAGCCTTTGATTACATAAATATTCAATATTTCTTTCCTTTGAATCCCTGTATCATTTTGTATGGA